ACAGGCCCAAGAGCCTGCCAGGGGAAGCTYTGTGGACCCTTGTCCTAAAATCAGGCTGGGAGTCAGATTCTGTCTCATAGACACCGGGTGCGGGTACATGGAGAAATGAAGCTTATGGCCTTCTGGCTCCTCCAGAGGGAGAATAATGTTTAAAGAATAGGTTATAAAGTCTCTTCGTTATTAGGAAGAAAGTTCTCTGGGTATCTCTTATGCCATCTCACATGGGTGTGAAGGGTCAGTGCGRTCCCAGCTCCTCTGGCCTCCTGACCACATGGCAGGGGGCGGAGCCAGCCCTCCATTATTAATGTGCTCTCCCTCTTGTCTAGTTTTCTAGAACCAGCCCTCTGCCATCCCACATTTCTTTATCCATTAAATGTACTAAGGACCACTTTGACCTAAGAACATTGTTCTCATCCTTCTTCTAATATGGGGACTTTTTTCACCTTTAGTGACTTACTGGGCACGGGGAGGAACTCAGAGATGTCTGGAGTTATCCTATCTACAACTCTGACCCTCACCAGAACCTTCTCTTGCTGTGAAAGGGTGCTCTAGACCACATCGTGCAGCTCATGAGAGGGGCGGAGATAACTCCTTCCTTCTGTCTTGATGATGGCTGCACTGTTATTATGGGCTATGGGTTGTCAGGGTGATTCCTGAGGTGAAGGAAATAGCCAAGCCACTCGGTGGTGGCCTGTCTGAAGAACAGGACCTCCTTCTACTCCAGGGACATAGGAGGGCACATGACCATAACAGACTTTAGGTCTCCCAGGCTTTCCTTGGAATACACCAGGCTCATGAGAGGGAAAAGCCCCTCTCAGGGACACGCCACCAAGTGGGTCTGTTTCCACTGTGGGAGGGATTCTCTCATCCCAACCCAGCCATTTCCATGAACAAGGGCTCCCCAATTGCCTCCCATGGGGCTCAGGGCACACCCCTCCCCAGGAGGATGACAGTAACCCAGGTCAGGTTCCCACAGACAGCAGCCCAGGGTAGAAACTGAGGCACAATAAGAGGAATGGATCAATGAATGGTTCAGCAGCAGCTTCTTCTGGGCTTGAGCCAGTGGGAATTCCTTTTCTGCATTTGGCAAAACTGGCTCTGCATACCTGCCCGTGTCTGGGTCAGAAGAGGTCTCTGGAAGGATGTTTTGTGGGTCAGGGTATGGACTCTAGAGTCAGACTGCCCAGGTTCCAATCCTGGCTCCCTCCATGCTGAGTGACCATGCCAGGTTACTGAACCCTCAGTTTCCCCCTCTGTAAAATGGGGCTTTTGTTAATGCCTTCCTCTTAGTATTGTTGTAAAGATTAAATAAGATGAGGGGCATGAAATTGTCCAKCACAGGTCCTGGAGTGTATCAGGAATTCAATAATAGCTACTCCTATGATCGGGAGCAAGAGGGAGTGGTTCGTGTGAAACAGCTGGTGGGGGAAAGTGAGCTATATGGAGTGAGGTTTTGTTCACTGCTCTGGAACTGCCATGTTGCTTGGCAAACTCCAAGAGCCTCAAACGGTTTTGTCTGCCTTCCAAGAAGACGGAACAACAGGTGGGGTTGCCTTAATTTATTCCAGCCCAAAGACAGCCTGGTTCAGTGTCAAACCTCCYGGCGCAGGTGGAAAAGCTTCCACCTCAGTGGCCACCCTCCGCCCTGGTGGGTGACTCCCCTGGGCACGCCATGTAATCAGTGGGCACTGAACGAATGCTCTGCATTCCCTGGGGAAAGCTGTGACAGCACAGCTTGCAGCTGTCCATCAGAGGCGGGAACGACAGCTCAGTGCCATGCTGACCACTTTCCCTGCTTTGGGCCTGGTTCTAGCCTCTGAGCTGTGAGGTGAGGGACCYGAGGGCATGCCAGCTTACCCCCACTCAAGGCCACCATCTCCTCAGATGTCCCAGGAGCCCAGGAGCCTAGGAGCCTCGGGGCGGGGAGGGAACAGAAGAGATGGGGTTGGGAGCGACTGCCCATGAGCCATGCTGCTCTAACTGTGGGTTGGGACATATCCACGTGGGGTGTTTCAGTTCTAAATGTCCTTCCTGTTGTCCAAATGGGCACCCAGGTCACTTCCTAGCAGCCTGTTTTAAGGGGGGAAGATGATAGATTATCTTGCATCCCCCAAAGTCAATAAACGTTGGTGGTATTAAACAACAGATATGTGTTCATACCGTGAATGCCTGCAGGAAATGAGCATGTGTAGGAGTAATTACAGGCAGACATGGTGGCTATTTCCAAACATCTGAAGACAATGACAACAGACTTTTGAGTTTCCCAGAAGCCAGAACAAAGGTTTAGTGTAAGAAAGCACTTTCTAACTTCTAGATACGCAGTGAGCACTTATCACAGAAACCATCTGCAAAAAGTTTACAGGAGGATTTGTCAGAGAAGGCAAGGGAGGGACTCTGCACCAGCCAGCTGGGAGGCTTGGAGTTCTGAGGTTGCTCTGAGCTCTAAGACCTTGGGACTAAACTGAAGGAGGCAGCCCTGTGGGTCTCCAGGCAGGGCATCAGTTTAGGGACACCTCCTGGATTCCCTGGCTGGTGGAAACTTGTTTGTATAGATACTTTTGCTGCAGCTGCTGAGAAACTCTGGAATATTCTACTATTAGTGTTGGCCACCTGTACACAGGAACAGGCCAAGAAAACCACCCCAGGGGGCTGGCTGGGTACATGATAGACTGGGCATTTTGGGAGAAATGGCTGAAAAGTCCAGAAAAATGGGGAGGAAGCAGGGTGGGGGGAGCACAACTAGTTCACATGCACCTACTTGTTAGCATCACAGAGAGTGCCGGAAGGGAAAGGCGACCACTTCTGTGGCACAGACAGCTCTGCTTAGTGATCCRTCAATCATTTGAGAGGTGGAGAGGGAAGAAAAAGGACAAACCTCTGACAAAAAGCTTCAAGTCAAAGGAGAGGGAATTATGGAGCCTTATCAGAGCATCTCTGGTCTACCAGGAGAAATCCAATCACGCTGGCTGAACGCAGAGTCAGATCTAATCAGGACCTGCTCTCCAGCTGCTCAGCAGCAGGTCAAAACCAACAGCCGCTGGTTCTTTCTGGAAAGCAAGCTGCCTGAGTTGTGTCAACTTCTGGTCTCCTTGAGACCAGGATGCTTTGTTCTTACCCCCAGCTAGTCAATGCCATCTGCTCAAAATGGTGCCACACAACTGGAGCCAACTGCCCAGCCCAGGCAAAGTCCTGCTGGTTCTAGAAACCTACTGGCATGTTAGCTTGGAGCTGAGACACACTGACTTTCTTTTAAAATATGACTGTGTGGAATCTGTGACTCATGCCATTCACTGTGCTGGGCACTGATGGCCATCCCATGCCTCCTAGTGGGTGCCAGGGCAGTTTCCTTACACACACACACACACACACACACACACACACACACACACCTGATAAAAGGGCATCACACCAGCCTGGGGGGGTACACCCCCATATCTACCTCTAGGCAGGTGTATTATTACTCTTCTTCTGGGGCATTGATGGCTGCAGTTAGCCAGTCTGTGGTAGCAGCTATAACTCACAGCTTCTTTGCCATGAGCAGAGAACACCATCTGTGGAACTCCCAGCTCCCTGCAGAGCCCAGCCTGCCATTCTAAAAAATAGCCTTGAAGGCCCACTGAAGGCTGGGACCTCGGAATAAGAAATGCCCACACAGAGACATAAGGAATGAGACAGGAGGTGCCGAGAGACTTTCCTCTCTGGTTTTCAGCTTTGCCACACAAGCTTGATGGATCTGCTGCCCACAGACTGGCAGGGCATCTCATCCCAACCTGACTCACATCATTGTGTTGTCATAAGAGGACCTGTCCAGGGCCGAGTCTTGAAGGACATGGGAAGGGTAAGCAGTGAAGTACAAGATGGGAAAGGCTGGAGGAAAAGCCTTTGCTCATTTGCCTCCCGCCCACCTGGAGATCCAGCTTGACTCCTGGCCTGCAAACCCAAACCGCAGCCCCTCTTAACTACACATGGGAGGCAGAGAAGGCTCAGACCTCTTCCTCACTGCCCGTGACTATAAAAGGAAGATGTAGTCACACACACCTAACTATCTGCACACCCTGCAAACACACCATGTGCTATTAGGAAGGCTGGGAGCTTCTGAGCCACATGGCCATGCAAATTCTATTCTACTCTTCCCCATCTATTTTGCTGTGTGACTAAAGGGGAGCCATTGACCTCTCTGAGACTTGGTATTCTCCACTGCTCACAGGATATTTGAGATCAGTTCCCAAAACCAGTAGGAATTATGACAGTCACAGAGCAGATACGCGCACATATGACAACCCCATACAGTCCCACGCCCACACTACCACATGTAGATGCAACAGCARTCTAATTACAAGCCAGAGATGACTCGCCTTCATCATAAAATCTTAAAATATAAGCTGAATTCCTTTCCTTCCTTCTCCATATCAGAGTTCAATTATCTTCTTCAAACACTTAAGCTCAGATGACCAGCATGAAATAATGCAAATAAATAATCCAGAGCTTAACATTCAAGGCAACAAATCTTCCTTTAAATTAAATAAACTCTTCCCCACTCAGCCATAGCTTACACAGATAGTCACACCGGTGACTGATTACGCTCCTCTCTAATTATTTCAGCCCACACCCATCCTTCTCCAAGGCTGCATGTCTACAGCAGCTCTGCTTTGGCTTCCATATCAGAATTTGGCCTGTGAATGTTTTAGTTCTCTCAATTCTTAGCTTCCCTCTGCAAGATACCTCCTCTGGGAAGATCCAACTCTTTCTTACTTTCTAGCCCCAAACTTGTGGTTAGGAACTTGTGCCTGGGTCTGTCTTGTGCACATTGACCTTAGCATCCCTCTGCCAACTCCCTGGCTCTCCATTCACTAAAGAGGGGAATGGAGGTGAGGAACGGGCAGCTCAGGAGTCTTTCCTTACGGTGCACAAAGGCAAAAGAACTCTCGAGAGCACGGCTCACCATTTTCAGGCCGTGGCCTACAAACAGAGATGCAAACAGTGGCAAGGTTCCTACTCACAGCAGCTGCAGGGACACCAATCCGTCAAAGAGTCCCTTGGCAATCTCAGTGATCTTGTTCCCGTAGAGTACCCTGGAAGAGAGCGGATGGCAGCTGTCACCATGATGTGAGGCCACCGTAACCTACTCTTATGGGACATCATCAGTGGGGCCAATTCTGGCATAGTATCGTAGGTCACCTCCTTCCCCAACCCACCTCATCTCTTGTGGGCATTAGCTGGACAGAGTCAGGCAAGCGCAGCCCAGACCAGGACGCCCTTGAGGCCAGGAGAGATGGGATCCATCCTACTGCACTCCTGGGCAGCCYGGCCCAACAAATTATTCACAACAGAAGCAGCCTGTTGGGGGTGCCTCCCCGAGCTGCGGACATGACTCACGCCCGGTAGTAGACAAGCAGAGGGGGAGGCTGGCCAGCCCTGCTTCCAGGGGGACCGGTCAGGCTGAGCCCAGCCTACAGACTGCTTCCTCTGGATCTYCCACTGCATCCTAGGAATTCCTTTTGGGAATTCTCTGGGGTCATCTCCAGATGGCACAGGGACTGCTGGGCCTAGGACTGGCCGGCAGGAAAAGCTGTGGAGCTTTGTTGTCTCCCAGCGATGGAAGCTGCTCCTTCCCACTCCTAAGGTAGTCCTTGRGGTCCAGGAACCTGGTAACTCAGAACCCTTTGCTTCTCTGTCAGGCCCAAGCGTCTCATGCTGCTGTCTCCGCTTCCCAGGCCCCATCATGGGCGCCTTGTGAGGCCTGGGGAAGGAACCTCCTGCTTTGCCACACCCAGAGGGTCTCTGGGCCTGGGTCATGTTGCTTCTCAGCACAGGTGCCCAGGAGGCCCTCCTGGCTCCTGCACCTCCCTGGTCACAGACTTTCTGTCTCCTGTCCAGACTTGTCTCTGTCACTCTCCAAGCAACTGAGCCAAGGAAGGTTTGGTTTGTTTGCTTTTAAAAAAAGCCCCCCCCTGGGGCCCCAAGGTGACAGAATGAGGGAAAYATTCGATTCCCACTCTGACCACAAATCCAGGCTGTGACACTCATTTGAAGAGCCAAAATATTAGGGTGAGGAAATGGAAAATGGAAGTGTTAGAGCAAACCCCCCATTTCTAGATGCCACTGGAGTGAAGAGTGAGTGTCCCCAGCAGCCTGTGGGYGTACTTCATTAATGTTTCAACAAATTAATGACTAAATAGAAGTCAGCATGATGGCTCAGAGTCGCATTTGTAATTCATATTAATGTCCCACCGCTYGCTGTGCCAATCGAGTGATGCCACTGTCTGCTCCTCTCGGCGGACGTCAGGACTTCTAATGGGGCAGAGCTGGTGGGTGGCAGGACTGGGGGTTTGGGAGTGGGTCTTTCYACTGTCCTTGTGCTTCAAGGGACCCGCCTGTGTGCCACCTCAGGGGCACCTGTGTGMGCACCTGCCTGGCTTTCCTGGTCTAAGCTCAAACCTCTTTCTCTGGGGGCTTCTAAATATTTCGTTTTTCTTTTTTATTTTTACAACCTGTTGCCCTATTTTATTTCTTTACAGCACTGGTCCTTATTCTGTTATATTATTAACATATCTATTTTAATTTTATCCTCTTTTATTTTTTTTTTACCTCCTCCCTTGAACACAAGCTTCATGGGTGCGGTGACTTGCTCAYGGCTGGGTCCCTAGAGTTGAGACTAGGACAGGGTGTGACCTAGGTTAATGCCTGCTGAAGGGGTGTCTGAGCAGGGTGGGTAGAGGCCCTCTGGCCCTTCACAGTGGCCACTCCTGAGCTGGGCATGGATATGTGGATGTTCAACTCTCGGCTCCAGGAGGCCACAGTCTCGGTGCCTGTGTCACTGTTCAGGACATGGCAGGCACGTGCTGGATGGAGGAATGACTACATTGGAGGTGAGAGCCACTTGGCGCCAACCACGCCCAGGACACATTGTCACATGGGCTTAGTGGTGTGCCATCTCATGTCGGGCAACTGTTTTCAGACGGTTCCTAAATCCTGGCTGAGGGAAAGCAGACAAGGGGGAYGGGAAGGTAGGGGGTAGAAGTAGGACCATGGTGGCAGGCCCCTCTCTTGCTTCTCCCCTGTGGTCTTCTGCATGACAAACAGGCACCATTCCCACACAGGGCCCTGCTTTGAAATCCCAGACAGATGTTGTGTTCTGGTACACGAAGCTAGTTTACTCCACAGGCAGCAACAGCCACCCCAGCGATTCCCTGTCCCCAGGCCACACAACGGGATGGGGTCAGGTGGGGGAATGTGAGCTGGTCACCTCCTCACTCGGGAATCGGGCAAACTGCTGCATGGAGAGATGGAACATGGTCTGCTTACTTCTGAGGGTCCCCCAGTGGCCCTGSGCTGCAGGAGGCAGGGGAACAGTCCACCAGGTGATATAAACAGTGTCCATTGAGGAAGCCACTGTGGAGAGCCATTAAAAAAAATCCCCTTCCCSTGCCTGTGTGTCTCTTGGCCTTTGCTGGTGAGGCTTTGGCTCCAAATTGGACACCTTTGGGCAGTAGGATGGCATGGACATCATCTCAGAGCAGTGGGCCACCAGGTTGGTTAGAGAAAAACACCTAAATTAGCAGAAGGAGAAGAGTCTGTCCTTCAGCAGGGCCACATGAAGGGGAGGGGCTGGAGGCSAGGGGTTCTTGGTAACAGACACAGGCACCATCCTCTCCTGCTGTCCCCAGAGAYGGCTCTGCTACAGCGTGTCAGTGGGCGGGGGAGCGAGGACAGGGGCAAAGATGCATTTGAATTAGAAGCCAATAACTGGGAAAGCCGCCGGGCACTTAATCAATAAAAATAATGCATTTGAGTTGTAGAAATATTCCCCAAGATCAATTTCTCTCAAAGAAATATTTGTTTCTCTTGCCAGGCTGCCACAGTGTGTAGGGGAGCATAAAGCTGGGTGAACACCTCCTGGAAAAGATAAGTCCCCACCCCCGCCTCCACCCCACCCCCAGCCCTCTGTCCCCAGCCCCCTGCCCTCTGTCCCCAGCCCCCAGCCCCACTTACAGCGATGTGAGCGACTTCAGGCCCTGGAAGGCGTCTGGAGCTATGTCCGATATCTGATTCTTGCTGATGTCTCTGGAAATGTTAATGGGAGAGTCTGAGAACGCAGCTTGAAGGTGTGAGAGCGGCCGCCTCTACGTACGGACTGGGCAGCTCGGGCATTCAAAAGGTGAGGATCAGTTGATCAATGAAGCCATGCATTTATTCACAGTGCAGGAGAAGGCACCTCGAGATCACTCGCTTCCCTGCCCAGTGGAAGGCACTGCCCTTGAACCAGTCTCCCTTGCCATAGAATGCTCCCCTCGGAGTCTCTGCTKCGACCTGCAGCTGGGCACTGCGTGGCCTCACTTTGTTGGTGCGAAGCTGCATTTAGAGCTTTGGCTTAGGTCTTATTATCAAGCATTAGTGACAAATGAAACAGAAACCAGCCTCCCCAACCACAGGCATCATCTTCCTGCCTCACACCTGGGCATGTGCTCGCTGATTCCCAGGAAGACCTTGTCATTTTGTCTCCCACTGACCTTTCCTCCCTAACTGAGAGGCAGCTTTGAAGAAGGACCTAAGCCTCTGTCTGGTTCCACATGTCCTCCAGGCCCTGATGTAAGCACATCGTGGGATCTTCAATGGACGCCTTTGAGGTGGAGTTTGTTGCTGGAGTGCTCCTCCTCTGGAGAAAACCCACGGAAATGATCTAGTCCAGAGCTGGTGGGTGGCTGTGTTGGAAGGATTCTCCAAACACGGGGCCACCAGGAGGCTAACCTGGCCTCTCAGGTGCAGAGGAACCTCCCTGCTCTCCTTCCCCCACCTCCTTCTCAGATGCCCTCAAGCTGCCTGCTTTAAGCTGCCTGGGGACTTCCGAGTTCCTGGTCACTGGTCCTTGCTAATGGCTCTTCACTGAGGGGAATTCTCTCCCTCAGAGTCATTAGCTCAGGGCTGGCCTTTGGGCTCCTGTCACTGGAAGGAGAGATGCTCCAATTTCCTGCAACAAGAAACCTCTCTGGTTCTTTTTTCTTTAGCAAAATAAATCAATGGTACCTTGCTTTTGTTCAGGAGAGGGAGAGCTGGGGTCTTGGTGGGTCAACAAGGAGGAGACAAATAGATATGGAGAATAAAGAACATCGGAGCAGATTCTAAGCAATTGCCCCTGGCAAGGCCAGCCTCTCGATCTCTGAAGCACATGCAGGAGAGCCTCCCCAAGTGTTCCCCTCCTTCATCTAATAGCCTTAGAAAGGGGTGCAAGACACCTTTGCCTAGACCTCTGCTCTCTGCCTCCCTGTTCCAAAGCTGTAAGTTGAAAGGTACTTCACAGGCTTCGAGCTCTCTGGCACAGCTGCCTCGTTTATCCCTTTAGCTGGGGAGATTGCCTCTAACAAATCCGCAGATCGCACCCAGACGCCTCAGCTTACGTGGGGCTTTTCTTCAGCGTTCCGTTTTTGTATAAGGGTCTTAAGCAAATTCCCAGGATTATCCTAATCTTGCTCGCCCTCAGCACTGCCTAGCAAAGGCAGCCCTCAGCGGCTGCCTRGCAAAGCATTTCAGGCAAACAAGCAGATCTGCTCACACCAGACTAGGAACAGGGCCTATTCTGACTCTTTTCCTGACCACGGGATGTCCCTTCAAGGCACTCTGACCTCTCACAGACAAAAGGAAGTCCTGACTCTAGGGAGTCCTTTGCTTTAGCTCTGTGACAGCAAATTGTTCTCTGCCCACAATTAGACTTGTGGCCCCAACTCTTCCTGCAGCTGGGATAGGATGCCCCAGGGAGGTGTTGGAGAAAGGGGAATGGAAAAGGGAGACAGTTCAGTTGGGAATTGACTCTAGCGGTCACTTTGTCATTTCTCCCAACTTGAAAAATTTAAAAGGATATATATGTTTRTGTGCATAATATGTTTTGAAAGATATATTCACAGTAGCATGGCTAAATCAAGCTCTTGAACTATGTGCATCACCTTACACACATATTACATGTAACAAAATCTACTCCCAGCAATTCTCAAGTATATGGTCACTAACCATCATCTCCATGTTGCCAAAAAGATCTCCTGAACTTCTCCTCTTGTTTAACTGAAATTTTGTATCATTGGAGTAATATTTTCCCAGCACCCTCACCCTACCTCTACCATAAGCCTTTACCCATCAGATGCACCCTATTCTCTGCTTCCATGAGTTGGATTTAAGATTCCATGCATCAGTGCACTGTCTCAATTCCTAATTCTGCAGGAAGAAAACAGCAGCCCTGAGGTCAAGGGCCTGGAGCCACAGTAACTTGACAGTCATTAGGGTAAACAGTGGGTGTCCCATGTCTCCTGACACCCAGGTCAAGGCCCTTCCTGATATTTCATTATGATGGATGCAGAATGCCTGGTTCGGGACAGGAAGGCAGACTGGGGAAGGTTCCAGCTGTCGCTCACCCTCTCGCTGTGGACTGAGAGTTCAAAGCCAGCCTCAGCATTTTAGCAAGTCAGTAAGCAGCCTGGGGGTGCTGGGAAAAAGCAGTCCACAGCGAGGTGCCTTAGAACTGACTGAGCACCGTGGTCACTCTTGTCCAGTGGTTTGCAAACCTCACTAGGGTGTTAGTCAAATGCACCCGCGGAGAGTCTGATGTGGTAGGCTGAGGTTTGGGGGTCAGAAATTTGCATAGTAAATAAAGCTTCAGCAGATTTTTGTGCCAGTGGTCCTTAAGTCATATTTTAGACCACAGAGTTTTAGACTCTGGTCAGTCTCAGACCCACCTTAATCCCCTGGGGCTTATAAACTGGATGACCAAGAGGGAGTGGCTTTTCCAGACTGTTTGGAACAGAAAAGGCAATTTCAGGTGCATACAAGGCTAAAGCTAGGAACTTAAATGTGAAGCACTAGAAGTTCTGAAGCCCAAGGAAGACTGTTCCACTTAAGAGCATGCAGCTGAGGAGAACTCTCAACACACCAGTCAGGCTAAACGACACAGGCTGGGCTCCCAGGTGTCAGGCTCCCAAGGCACCAGCTCTATGAAACCTGTGCTGACAGTGCCTTCTTCTCTCCAGACAGATGGTTTCTCTACCTTGACACTATTTTTTTCCTAAAAGTATTTTTTTTTTTTTTTTTTGGTACCAGGAATTAAACTCAGATGCACTTGAAAACTGAGCCACATCCCCAGCCCTATTTTTGTATTTTATTTAGAGACAGGGTCTCACTGAGTTGCTTAGTGATTTGCTAAATTACTGAGGCTGGCTTTGACTCAGTCCTCCTGCCTCTGCCTCCTGAGCCTCTGGGATTACTAGGTGTGCGCTACCGCTCCTGGCCCTGAAAGTGTTTTCTTTTTTTTTTTAAAAAATAAAGGTCTATTAACAACACACACACACACACACACACACACACACACACACACATACATATATATGTGTGTTGTTAATAGACCTTTATTTTATTTATTTATATATGGTGCTGAGAATCGAACCCAGTGCCTCACACATGCCAGGTAAGTGCGCTACTGCTGAGCTATGCTTTTTTTTTTTTTTTTTTTTTTAATACCCAGGTGACCACCATAAATAGGTAGGAACACAGCCATTTGTGGTTAATCTGTTGTTAACAGACTAGAAAAGGATGCAGTTCATTGAAAGTTGAGGAATAAACTTCCTTCTGGTAAATATTAGGAATAAATTGGTCATGGACACCAAGGAGGAATGCACACTTAGGGACTTGAAAATTCATCCTCACCTGGGACCTGGCTTCTCCTAAGCCATTAAACTTCAGTCTGGATTTCTGAAGTTCTATTAGTCAAAAATGTTTTAGTGGGCTCTTTCCCTACTACAATTCCCTTGGGGGGCAAGGAAGGCCTCATAATAAATATCAGCAGTACCAGAATGATCAAAAATTAAAATCACTTTCCAGGTCATGACTGAGAAGGTCTCATGAATTTTGAATGCACTGATCATGGCAACTCCAACAGGATGGAGAAAGGATGGTAAAACAYAGCCAAGCTCTAAATTACCTGRACTTCACAAAAAATTAGAGCRGTGACTTAAATCATGCAAGAGATATAGGTTGGGGCAGTGATGAACTTGTCATTTTTCACTGAAATTACTATCTGGCTGCATAATCAAGCTGGGCTTTAAAAATGGATGGGGGGGGGTGCATGGAGAGTGTGCTGGGGCACAGGGACACCTGGAGATTAATGGCCACGGGTTTTAAATATTAAGGCTGATATTTATCCAGCTCCTCCAGCAGGAATGCTACCCCTGGGAGGGAGGCGCTGCCCTCAGAGCTGGCTCATTCTGCTGGTTTCCACTCCTGGAGTTGAACCAAGAGAAAATCTTGTTTGCTTTGGATTTCCAGGGAGATGGGAAGTTGGCTTCCTGAGATCTGGGGGTAAAGCTACTAATGCCACTGTTCCACAGGGATGTTTATTTTTAACGTAAAAGGAATCAGCAGAGATCCTTAGTGTATACACTCCCACTCCAGAAACCAGAGAATTAATCTGGCGTGGAAGGAAAAACAGGGTTGAGTCATGTGTACATCTACATGTCCTCTCTCCTTCCTGTGTGTGGGGGCAGGGCAGAGAGAGCAGGTAAGCGGAATGAAACCCACTGATGACCGGGACAGACAAAATAATTTCTCAGCCTGCAGAAGGGAAGGGGTCTCCCTCCAGAATCTTGGTATCTGTGATGGCATTTTTGAATCCTACCACCTCCCTTCAGCGTGTCCAGTGCTGAGTGACTCACAGACCAATGTTTAGGTTGGCATGTGAGGGGAAGGATGACAACATTGTCGCTATGGTGGGAAGGAGGATGTGACACAATGGTGCTGCCAAGCTGCTATGGTGAGGAAGGCACAGCTGTGCCAGGGTCTCGGGGGCTGGAGTGATACAGCAGGGAGGTGAGATTGGCCAGTGTTGTGGGGTGTTGGTTCAGTCATATGACTGTATATTGGCCACACCCCCAGGCTTCTGATTTCACTTAGACAGTCCTGTCTATGGCCTGGGGGGCTCCAACACAGTCCCCACCACCTTGAGAGCTGGCCTGCCTTTCCCTCACCTGTACTGCTGCTGGGAGGGTCTTCCCTGAGCCACCGCTCACCTCCACAGAGGCCACGGCCATTGTCCTCTCTCTCCTTCTATTTCTCTTTTTCACTTCTAGTTCTTCCCAGTTTCTGATGTTCGTTATGTCTTGTGCTCTCCGCTTGGTGGAGGCTCCATGTCTGTGTACAGACTTAGCTTTGTTCACAGCTCTCCCCAGACTCTGAGAGCAGGAGACTTCCCAAGTACTTGTTATGTGACTGCATGCGTGTCAAAATGTTGGTGACAGTGGGACAGAYAGCTGCAGGCCACTCTCATGTCTCATTGAAACTCCTACTTTCAGAGCTTTAGCTGTAGCTCAGGGGTTGAATGCTTGCTTAGCAAGCTTGAGGCCCTGGGTTTCACATCACCAAGCCAAGGACATTAAAAATGTATGGATTTTAGGGGACCCATTTCCTCCCACACAGATAATTCTACTTTGTTCTGGTGGGAGAGGCTCTRAGCGAATTGTCCAAGCTCCTGTGCCTTCCAATGTGCATGGGGCACTTCCCAATCTTAGGAGAGCAGCCCAGGTCCGAAGCTGAGTGCCCAGCAGGGATGGGATGACCTGTTCTGGGCAGGCTGCCTTCTACATGTTGCTAATTACCCCACCCCCCACCCCATCACCCCAAGACATTGGCCCGATGCTCCCCAGTGGCCACTCACATTCGCTTCAGTTTCTTGTACTGGGTGAAGGCTCCTGCGGGGATGGATCTGATGGAATTCTGTTCCAGACGTCTAGAAAAAAGAGCAGAGGACTCCATTAACCCTCCTCCTGCCAGCAGATGGTCCCTGAGGGCCACTGTGTTCACCTTGGTGCTCAAGGACAGGGTGGTGTCTCTCATCACAAGCTGGATGTAGGAGGCGGGGCAAACACTGTGATGGGCAGAGAGCTGTGTAGACAGAGCACCCTTCAGGGCCTAAGGGTCTTCTGGGAAGCTAGAGGGGGGGACTGTCCTGGAGGAGTTTGGACTGGGAGGGGAAGCTGCCTTTGGAGGCAGCTGCCTTCAGAGAGAGAGCTGGAGGAAGGAACCAAGCCGAGTGCTTAGAAAGTCACAGGGAGAGAGAGAGGGGGACCCAAAGGAGACAGCGCGGGCCAGCATGGCTTCCTGACGTCATGCAGGTTCCGGAGGCCCAGACTGGACTCTCCTCTGGGCTGCTGCTGGAATCTCTGTGGACTTCCTGAAAGGCTTCTTTTCTGGTTACTCTGGAAAGAATGAGATGCTGCAGGCCCACGGTCCAGAACTTCCTGGGAAGAGAAGGAGCCATGGGGAGCAAGTGTGTCTTCCCATTCTTTAGTCTTTCATTTCTCAACTGAATTGCCGTCACCAGGAACAGGTGTGGTGGGAAGCGGTCCTGAGCGGGAGGAGGGGCCCTCTATTACGGATGATGAATGACACCTGGCTCAGGCTGAGGAGTCAGGATCTCATCCCCATCCATCTCCCTTCTCCCCAAGGTTCAGATCTTTTCATCACCTCCTAATTTAGCACGGATGCTCCCTAAGCCCTCAGCTGGGAAGACACAGAGAAAGGTGTGTGGAGGGGATGAGGTGGGGGAGCAAGAGGGAGAGCGGGAGGAACCRGCTGGCTCTCTTGGAGGCTACATCTAGTGGATGCACATTTCTGGCGGGGCTGAACCCATTCATCTTGAAGAGTAATCCCTGCTGCAGAGTGGGGAGACAGTCGTATTAATTTGTGCCTCCGAGATCTCATCTTCATTGGGGGAACAGAGTATTTGTTACTGGAACCGCTAATGGAGCAGTTTGCCAGCAATTTTCCCATTTCAAACAACATCTCAGCTGCTAATGTGGAATGTTTGTCAGGCCTACCCATAACACAGACAAATCACTCTCCAGGAGAGGGAAGGGCGACAGGGTGGGGGCAGAAAGCGGAGGGCGGGTGAGGGGAGAGCGCGAGCATCAGGACAGATCGTTCTTGGCTGCTGGATGAATAGAGTCTACAAATGAGACTGCCACGCTCCGTCAACATGCCTTTGTGCCCTGCTGGAGGGGGCGGGGCAGTGCTTGCTGGGAATGCATTCACGGGCGGACTGGACAGGGACCTGGCGGGCTGACTGGCCCRTGGTGAGCCACCAAGTATGGCCACRGGGCCTCAGGGAGCGTGGACTATGGCTACTGTCTTGACAGAAGTGCCAAGAACATTCTCGTTTCCAGCTGAGCAAAGGGTTCAGCYGGGATTTCTCAGTCAAGGCATCAGGAATCTCTGGGGCTGCCAGTCAGGTGCTGTGTTCCCTCCAGGACCTGGGATTCACCTGCCACTGTGGCAAGAGGTTTCACCTGGATGGTGCCTCTGGAGAGAAGCACCCTGGGTAACAATGGTAACCACTCTGCTCTTGCAGGTGGATCCACTGCTCCCTGGGTGAGGACAGGGGGGGCATGAGGGCTACTGAGTCTCCCTGTGGGTCACCCATTTCCCTCCATTTCAGTGACCTGAAGCACTAGGGGAGGAAGGAAAGAAGGAAGGAGCAAGATGTGACACTGGCCTCAAGGCACTGAATAATCTGTGGAAGGAGAGTAGCCCATGATGGTCCACCACAGAATCAAATTCTATGGTGACCATGGCAAATAGTAAGGGGTATCATTTATGAAGTCTAGTTGATTTAGGTCTATTATTTCTTTTAACTTGCACAAGGATGAGACCAGCAGTATTGGCCCCATTTTGCAGATGAGAAAAAAAACTTAGAGGAGTTAAATCATTTGCATCAAAGTGACAGAGCTAGAATCGATGTCTTTCTTTTTGTATCCATTGGACTCAGTGCCTCTTTATATTTGTGAAAATGAGGAAACTGAGACTAAGGGGGCTTTCTCAGTTATAGACAAGGACAGGGAATTACGACCTCAGAGCTCAAGCTGTGGAAGTAGGCGCCCAGCAAAAAGGCTGGAGAAGCTCAGGAAAGGGCAATGTAGCTGAGAGCAGGGTCTGCCCTCTGCATCCGGGTTCCCTATCTGCAGATGCAACCAAACACAGTCCAAAGACATTCAGAAGAAAATTGCATTTGTACTGAACACAGACTTTTTCCCGTCATTACTTCCTGAACAATAGAGTCTTACAACTGTTTACATAGTATTTACACTGCATTAGATATTGCAAGTCACCTAGACATGATTTGCAGTATATGGAGAGATGTATGTACATAGGTTATATGCAAATGCRATGCCACTTTGTATAAGGGACTTGAGCATCTGAGGATTTGGGTGCTTGAGGGAGGTCCTGGAAGAAATCCCCCATGAATATGGAGGGACTCCTGTACATATAAAATATGCACATAGAGTACAAAAGTGTGATTTTGGACAAAATTTTTTAAAAAAAGAATGTCAAACCTATCCTTTCTTCCCCAGCAAAGACATGGCCCTGTATCCTTCACACCCCAGACTTTCTCTGGGGGTGGGTTTGGTCTGGTCTCCCAGCTTCTCAAGCTGCTTTGGTTACTGTCTCACATTGGACCTCTTACAGATTGCCAAGGCCAGGACATGATGTGTATTAACTTTGTCCCAGGTGATATGGGGGCTGGTCTGGGTAGGTTAACTGTGAACAGTCTGGGCACCTTACACATAAAGACAAAAGGAGGGACACAGCAATCTAAAGAGGCAGCAAACACAAGGTGCTGAGCTGCAGGGGATTGGGCAGGCACTGGGCAGAATTTCCCACAGCATGTCCGACTCAGTATTTGCACCCCKCGAGGCATGTTTTTAGTTATTATTACCTCCACATTATGCACAAGGAAACTGAGGCTCAGAGAGATGAAGTCACTTGTCMAACTTCACAAAACCAGGAAGAGCTAGTGGTGGGACTCTAACCCAAGTTCTTATGTTTTTCAAAGCCCATCTCTTTTCTCATCTGCCACTATTTCGCTCCTTGCCTGCTTATCTGCGGGGAAAAGGGCCCCTCTCCAAGGGAGCAAAGCTGGAGTGTGCTCCAGGCCTTTGCTGCTAAGAGTCCCTGGAAGCGTCCACACATGCCCAGTCCTGCAGCCCAGAACAAGGAGGCAGCAATTTAGACCCCCAGTGAAAAAGCTTCCAAAAGCACTAATAGCATTAGCAAAAACTGTCACATTTCAGATGTGTCTGAAGCCAGCAGCTGTTCGAGGCCTCTCTTAACTGGCACATGTGTCTTTCTTTGTTTGGTGAACATTMTTCAGGCTGCAAACTGATTTAATAGAACGAGCATAAAAACAAACACACACATCAAACCTCTGAGCATTTCCTGCACAGCAGAAACAACAGGAACATATGATGGGGACCTCAGCCATTTGTGCTCCGTGTTGACTTGGCCCAATTCCTCSGGTGCTTCCTTAATGATCTGTCATTTGCAGGCATGCCACAGAACACCATGTATTTCTCACAATCCGCAAGTCAACATGGTGCCAGAGAGACTGGCAGGGGCACGGCTAGTGCAGGGYATGTCTGCAAATCACCTGATAAAGAGGAGCCGCATTGAGTTGGTGGTGGTGCTGGCAGGGCTTTCAATGTGAAGCACATCTACCATTAATGAGGGCTTTTTATATGTCACATACTGGCTCATGCTGTGAGGCTTTCAACAGCAGTACAAAGCAAGGAGTAGTGGTTAGATGCCCATTTTATGGATGACCAAATCAATGTGCCCCAGGTCCGCTAGTGCAGGGCACAGCCTGGACTTGAACCCAGGCTGGTCCGACTCAAGTGCCTGGCTCTCGACCCCTAGGCTGTACTGCTCTTCCCCAGAAGCACCTTTGTGGTTTCTTAAATCTTTCCCATCTCTCCTCATTTTCTTTCAACTTGGGAGCTCACATTAAATCCTGCTGAAGGAAGGAAGTCTGTGTTCTCCTCCCACCAAGTCCTCTTGGGCCACATGGCTGGAGACCAGATGGACAAGCCAGAGTCTACTTCACTAGGTCTGGGACAGGGGGGAGGGAGAAGGTCCTTTCAAGGTTGTTCTCTGTGCCCCATTTCTACACCCCTTCCTGGCCTGTCTCACTATTGCTTCCTGTAGTGAGCCCTAGACTCCCCCACTGAGCCTCTATGTTTGGTCCTCATCACAAAGATGAGGGTTGAGGGCAAATCTGGCACAAGCCATCACTAACCTGCTGTCTCAGGACACCTGGCATCACCTACAGAAAACAGGTGCAGACAGAACCAGACTTGCCCTCCTTATTGTGTTCAGGTGTCCAGGTATCTGCAGAAGAACTTTTTGTGTGTCTGTGGGTGAGGTGCTGGAGATGGGACCCAGGGCCTCACACATRCTAGGAAAGCACTCTACCCCTATCTGTATTGTCAACCCTAAAAAAAAAAATTATCTTAGAAAAAAATGAAAGTACAGGAAGTTGAGACTAAATTATGCTATCATGTCTCAGGTGCACACATGTGCATAGTTCTTGCTTTTTCAATTCCATTTTTTTCAGTAGCTTCCAAAAATTATGCTAACTTTCCACATATTGTGCTATTTAAATCCTGTGGAAAAACTCTAGGTAGGTATGTGATCCCTGTTTTGCAAAGAGGGAAACCAAGAGAAGCAGAAGATGTTAAGAAATGTGTCTGGAATCAGACGCAACACCAGGATTTGAACACAGGACTTTGGGCCCCAGGGCTCTGCTGGAAACCATTTTGCCTCCTGATTGGCTCTCCTTTGCAACACCTGCACCCAGCCCTTGCCTTCCTGCCTTGCCTGGGCATCATCCACTCAGAAACCTGGCACTCTCCCAACACTTGAGTCATAGAGTTCTGTGGCTTCTAGAGCTCGCCATCTCTGGTTCTGTTGGGTATATTTGGCTTTTAGTTCTCCGACCTCTCTCAGCCCCTCTGGTGACCATTGTAATGGGGGGATTATCTATTGCTAAGCAGCTGTCTCCTCACTGGCAGATTAACAATGGGAGCAAGGGGACAGTGGAGACACCGCTTTTTCCCTCCTAGCTGCTTCTGCATGCAACTTGACACTGTAACCTATCTACAGCCTTCCTCCATCAAATAAATGGACCTTCCATAGCAGGAGACATGACCCTGAGGACACCATATGAGGGTGTAGAGCAGACACGGCAGAAGATGCAGCAGAGATTAGGGAGGGGCTCTAAGCACGCGAGGCCCTCCGGAGCTCTTAAAGGCCCCAGAGGGCATCTGAAGACCACAGAACGCAGGCAGGCACGTGTGGTCTCTGGCTCTTCCCTGGATTGCTCTGGCTGGAGGCTGGAGCCAGTTCAGAGAAACATCAGGGAACAGTGTGAGTGACGCCCTTGATGCAAACTGAGTTTTCGAGGAAAATCTGCAGTGAAGCATCTCGCTGTGGGTTCTCTGGAAGAAAGCTATTTTTAGAGGAATTGGCTCTGGTATKCGAGGACACCAGCACACGCTCCTCTGAGCTGCTTTGGCTTCAGAAAAAAATCAAAGGGAGTCTGCCAGGTTGCTTTGCATGAGAGATGCCCCTTCCAAAGTGGCGCAGGGCAGGACCTCTCCAAGGCAAGGGAATTTAAAAGAATCTCAAGTAGTTAAGGATTGAGAAGAGCCCTTCTGAAGGGGAACACACATCTGGATTATATAGATGGTCCTGGGCAAGAGGTGGAGTTCTTCATGTTAAACAGAAAGTTCAAGTTCAGATGTGTCTGGGCAGGGGATGATAACCAGACACTCCTATTCCTCCCTACTGTCTCTGTTCCCTTCTCTCACCTCTCCGTCCACCTGCTGGTCCCTTGCTGCTAGGAGGATGCATATTATCTTCTTCAGAGATTCTCAGGCTGATGCAGAGTCCCCAGCCCAGGCTCTATTGCCGCTAGGAGCAGGCAGGTCCCTTTCCTCCATCAAGTTCTCTCTCTCAGGTGTCGCTACCCTAAGTACCCTCCCCAGCATAGAAACAATCCTCAGCTGCTTGAATTTCTCAGCTTCATTTCATCACAGGGGAAAGTGAGGCAGGTGCAGCAAGGGGAGCCCTGCAGATCTGTCTGGGGGACCTTGGGTGCCCACAGCTGGCGCAGCCTCCMGGCCATGTCTTCGTGCCTCAGCATGAAGACACCTCCTCCCAGGTCACATGCGTGTGGCTGGCCTCTGTCTAGAACCTGGCCTCTCAAACACACCTTTAAAGATCTGACCTGCTTTATGGAGGATCCCCCTGTGTAGGCAGCTCCAGCTCCTAGGGTGTGGCTTCTAACCCATCAYCATCCCTATAAAACTGGTGGCACTCGTGGAGTACTTAGGGTTGCAACATGACAACAGTCATGGCTATCAGAGTGCACTCCAGGACACACTGTAAGCCTTTGTCAGCACGTGTTCAGTTAACTCTCATACGAACCATTAAGAGGTACCATTCGCCTTTGCATTTTTTAGGTGAGGGAACCAAGGATTGGAAGTTACTTGGCTCTGGCTCAAGACAGGGCCAGAGCTGGAAYGCAGGTCTGCCCAAGTCCATGGTCTGTACTCTTAGCCACCAGGTTGTTGCTTTATCTTCAGACACACTCTAGCTAGGTTGCTGAGGTCCAGACTTGGGCATTTCATGGGCTAGGTGYTCACAGGTCTTTTATTTGGACAATTAAAGGCAATCTCTCTCTCTCTCTCCCTCCCTCTGTTATATAATTCATATTTATATAATATACATGTATTCATAATTATATCATGATTACATACACACGTACTCTGCTTTCAGGAGTAATCATTTTGTAAAATAAAGTACGTTTTTAATAGCCATGAGAGTAGAGGAAAGTCCAGGAGCTTAGGGAAGGACTCCTTCAGACTGAGCACTTTTCCTCAATGGGAAAACATCACATTGTTTGTTCCCTTCTCACTTAACCTCAGGGTGGGAGAAACTCAGTGAGGACCAGGCAGCCTTTTGGCAGTTACGACTCCAGCTTGCCCAGACGTGAGCCCAGCCAGGCAGGCACAGTGTGACCTGCACATCTGCAGTTTTTCTCTCTCCTGGAGACCTGAGCCATGTCCTGTGAGGCCCACAGAGATGTGAAGCAGGGGAGAAGGGGTACGCCCAGGGTTGGGGGGGGTGTCACTGGCCTGATGACCTGGACTGGCCTCTTTCATCAGACTGTGGTTTTGGAACTGGCCAAGGGAAAGTCTGTGGTGGCCAAAGACAAAAGAGAAAAGGTGGTGTGAGAAAGGAACAGGTAGGGATGAGAAGGGGCACCTCCCATGGGGACATTCAGTGGGATGGGGCTGGCAGGAAGTGTGTCCTGAAYAGCCTGGGAAGGTCGCAGCTGGTGTGGATGGAGAGGGAAAGGGGAGGGTCCTCAGAGGGGAGCGCTGGGCCTGGGGCAGAGAGATGGGGTGGAAATGGAAAGATGGCAGCTGCACAGGGAACGTGGACCAAGGGAAGGAGAAGATGATAAAGGGGCTGGTGCAGGAAGAGAAGATGGCAGGAACTGGAGCTAGGAGAAATGAGGGAAGCAGGAAGCAAGGCATGAGCAGGAGAGGCAGGAGAGGCCTCCRTGCCTTCAGGGAGAGGGGCTCAGAGCCAGAGTGATGCTGAGGACTGAGGGGAGTCCCAGGGAACGCTGGGGGATGTGGTCGCTGGTGCTGGGGAAAGGAAGACTGAGGGCCGAGAGCAGACGGTGAAGGGCACAGAGGCCATGCACAGCAGGCCCCAAGGACTCCTYCCAAAGGCCGATGCTTGCAGGAAAGGTGTGGAGCCGTGATTGTGCCTACTGGGGCTAGGGAAGACCACTTTGAASAGAGCCAGAAAGAGCTGGCAAAGAAGATGAAGAAAGGAAGAAGGACTCCACTGTTATAAGCCCTATGTTTCTCTGCCTCTCATTCTGGGTAAAACCAGTCTTTAAAATTCCCCAGGCTCTGGCCCCTCATCACCTCTCTGAACTCATCCCCTGCTAACTGGCTTCTGGCCCACCTCAGGGCCTTTGCACATGCCATCCCTACTACCTAATTGCACTCTTCCTCTAGAAATCTACTTGTGTTTTTTTTTCTTTCACTTATTTGAAGTCCTTTTTTTGCTTCATTTTCTCCATAGGACCTACCTCCTTCTAACATATTGTGTCATTTACTTTACTTTGTTTCCTGTTTATCCCCCACCCTCATGCAAGTATCATTAAGGCAGTAATTTTGTCTATTTTGTCATTGCTGCCTCTCCAAGCACAGAACAGTGCCTGTAACACAGTGGACTCCCAACAAGTATTGGCTGAATGAACACAGGAGTGAAGGGAAAAGCCRGGGAGCCATCGACTGGATTGAGCTGGAACAAAAGGGAATGCAAGGGATGGGGGAGAAAAGGAGGAGAAGGGGAGTGGGGGAGGAGGAGGTGATGAAGGGTATCGAGCTGAGGGAAGCACTTCTCTTATTTGGAGGGATTTTATCTAATGAGTTTTCAGCAGAAGGGGTCCATGTGATGGTGTTTTCAATAAAGCTACCTAAAGGTGAAGACAGAAAATGAAAACAACTGCAGTCATTTAAAGAGCGATCTTGRGGTCAGTGTTGACTGACACTCCACTCATTCCAGAATGCAACGCCGCCTGTTTCCTAACCGCAAGGGGAGGGTGGACAAATCTGCGCTGTGTGGACAAATTCTCCTGAAATTTCTGACATCTGTACATATACACCCATGTGCCAAGTGCTGTCTCTTTACAGGAAGATCTAATCTGGGGGACACACCTRCCCGTATGATCAGAGCCAGCGCCCCTGAGTGTGTGGGGAAGTGGGCTCAGGGCACACCCTCCTCCACCACTCACCAGACTGTAAATCAGCGGCCTGTGGAGTAAGTGCGTCACGTGCAGAATTTCATTTCATTTTCACAATGACCCATTGGGGTTTAATACTGTAATTATCACATTATTACAGGTGAGAAAATGAAAGATGGAAGGGCAATTATCTTACCTCAAGTCATACAGATAATAAATAGGAAGGCCGGGACACAAACAGCACGATCCTGGGGCACAGRCAGATGACTTAATGCAAAGGACCAGACAGAATGCATTGCAGGCCACATGGTCCTCTGTCACGATACTGCCCTATGAGAGCAGCCACAGACAGCACGGAACAAACGGGCGTGGACGTGTTCCAATAAAACTTTATGTGCAGCAATAGGTGGGATGGGATTGGCCCGGGTTCTGAAGTCTGCATCTTTAACCCTCAGCTGGCRTGCTGGGGAAGGCAGGGAGGATGGTGAAGAGATTCCTGAGGGTTTTTAACAGTCAGCTCTAGCAGTGAGATACTGATGACYCCCCAGAGGGACTGACTGGGACAGAGGGATGACAAACCCGGGCACTTACATCTCCACGATGCCCTCTGGCAGATTGGCGGGGATCTCCGTCAACCCTTTTCCTCGGCAGTCCACGATGCTGTTACTGCAGGTGCAGGCGGAAGGGCAGGAGAGAGAGTTGGCATTGCAGGATGGGGCCTCTGAGTGGGCACCTGTCGGCAGGAACACATCGGTCATCTCTTGTCCATGTCCCTTCACCAGCTTCCCAAGGATGTGGCTTCACCTGAAAAGCTGTCTGAAAAATCATCGCCACTGACAGGGGAGCCCCAGGAGAGAGTCTGGCCTTGACCTCGCTGCTTCTGGTTGTTGCACCTGCTCTCTCGTCCCACCATCCTGGCCTCTCATGTTAGGAGAAGCCAAGCCCCAGGGTCAGTCACTCATGGAGACACACACTGGTCCAAAGGGTATTTTGCTGGGACCACTTTTGCAGGGTGCCCAACATTTGAATGGCACCCTGGGGTTTTGGCTTGTATCTGATGATTGAAGGCTGAGTGTAGACAAAACTAGTCCTTTCTCTAGTGGCTGGAAGCCCCCAGAGGTGTCAAACCAAGTGGGAGCAACAAGGTGGCAGAATTTCCCCACTTGGGGCAATGATGTTGTTACATGTCAACACATTCATCAGCAGTGATGCCCAAGTTATTTCTGAATGGCTTTTATGCCCAGGGAACATGCAAATGAAATTTCCCTCACTAGAAATGAGGCAAATAAGTTGCTACGTATTTTGAAGTTAGCCCTTCATTTGTATGAGGTGAACCAGAGTGAATTTAAAGCCAAGTCATAAAAACCCCAAGCAAATGGCACCCCAGGAGCTTATTTAGAAAGCCAAATGGACACACAAACCCATTACTGACCCAACTGAGGATTCAGAGTTAAAGAGAATTTTAATGACATTCTCTWTTCACATTAAATCCCAAATAGAAGAAACAAATTTGAATATTTTAAAGACACTATAAACATTCCCATRCTTTGGTTGCTACCTCACAGTGAGGTCAGGATCTCACACCCATGCTGCATTTTCCAAATGTGGATGTTCTGGTCCAAAAGGAAGACCCGATGAAGCGGCCCTCCCAGGACTCATCCCATCCCTTTCAGATCCAGCCAGCAGTGGTCATCACAGTGTCTTTCAAGACCTCTCTCTGAGCAAAGAGGCCCAGGCTGCACCAAGCTCAGAACAACTCTGCAGGGCTCCCCATTGCTGGGGCCTGGGACCTCTGGCGGGGGCTCCTGGAGGCAGATTAAACACGAACGACAGAAATGATTTTTGGTTTGGCCCCTTTTCAGAGGAGAAATGAAAACCAGAGCGAGACATCCCTGGTGGTGGAATCAGAGTGACAACTGGATCCCGGGCAAGTCCCCATCTGGACGCTGAGACTCCACGTGGAGCGTTCAGCAGTGYCCATGACCCCAAAGGCTGATCTGTCTGTCGGAGCTCAAGTTGATGCCTCCAGCTTAATTTGAAATGTTTCTGTCCCCAGGAAGTGCCAAACAATGGCCAGAGATTTTTAGTGCCTTTCACCTCCTAAGTACACGCAAAATAAATATTTAAAAACATCCTCTCAGCTGGGATATTTGAGAGAATATTCTTGATTCCTGTCCAGTACACAAGGACTTCAAAGTCACTAGTGCCACAGGAGGGGATCCAATGAAGACCATGGAAAGTGCCCRAGGGCTGATGGCTACACTAACAGCCCCCTGGAACATTCTCCCAGAGACAGGGGTATGCTGGCTTTGTTCCAATCCGGGGAGCTTAGACAGCCCGCAGGAGCCTCAACCCAGAAACAAGAATGTCCTGGCTGAGYGTGGGGGCTCTGGAGTCCCACAGCCTCGGCGCTGATCTTAGCTCCATCCCTTGGTTCTTACTCCCAGTGCCTTGTTTCCCCCATCTGTAAAAGGGGGGATCACAGCCTTATTTCATAGCATGTTTTTTTGGGAAGGTGAAGAAAGTTGACACATAGATTCTTTAGAAGAATGATTGGCACAGAGGAGGAGCTTAGTAAAATCAGCTATTGCTGCTATTATTATTATTACAATTGAGTATCACTCTGCCATTAATTATCTGAAGACCTTGGGCAAGTCACAGTGGCATTTTTGTTGACATCTTGGTGAGTAAGGAGTTTGGGTGGCATGATTTCGACACTGATAATGGGACAGAGGGCAGCTTCTCCCCTCTGCTCTTCCCTGCAGGCACACAGAGGAGCCACAGTGTGAAGGACTCCGGTCCCTTCAGCCATGGGTGAGGGAGGCTGAAGCAGGTGGCTTCAGATTGCAGGGCTTCTGAAGTGCAGGTGGTATCCCATCCCCCAAAGGAAGCTGCTGTGCCTGCCCTTCCACAGCAAGGGGGAGAATGTGGCTGGCCTCACAAGAGGAACTGCCACACYTGGCGCCTTCCCCATGGGAAATGTAGGGACTGCAGCCTGCGCCCCTGCCCTTCTACCCATCAGGCAGAGAAACTGGATGGCTGCCCCTCTTCAGATCTGTCAAAATATTACTTGAATGGTGTGTGTTGGAGAAGGGGAGGAACTGTATTCAAGGCTCCCTATTGAYAACAGGAAGTTCTACTTGGAGTGATTTTCAAAGCCCCCACTTATACCCCCCTACACCAATTTCTATGTAGTAATTAATCCTGTTCTAAACCAGACCCAGGTTGCATCTTGAGTCCCKGGGGGGTTGTGGGTCTTGGAGAGGGTGGCTCTGATTCTGTTGCAGTGTGCACTACATTTCAAGGGATGTTGTCAMGACAAAAAAGCCTTTGAAAAAGATCCCTTAACCAGGTCACTAACAACACCTTTAATTACACAGTGAGAAACAGCGGTAATTATAGCCTCGTCAGCACCCTGGGCTGGCAGCACCCCAGGCAGCAGGCATTCCCGCAGGTGAGGACAGGACCTTATTTAAACAACACACTTCAGGTTTCAAATGAGGGTGAAAGACAGGGTCACTTTCTCTGRCAGCATTTTCCCATGTCCCTGTAGGCCTCTGAGTACCTGTGAGTGATGGCTCATGTCCCTCCCCCTGGATAGACTGAGACTGGAATGCAAATTCTATAAGGACAGTGACGGTTTTTGTCTTGATCACTGTTGTATTTTCGGTGCCTAAAACAGGGCTGGACCTGGAGCACGTGCTCAGTCAGCACAGGGTGGGTGAATGAGAGGGTGAACAGGCGACACCCCTCAGAGGTGACTGCCCTGCAGAAGGTCATCAGGAATGCAGGTCAATGCTCCTTCTAGAAGGGCTCTGAGGAGAGGCTCCCTGAGTCCTGGTGCCCTGGTTCTGCAAGACAGGACCTGCCATTTTGTGGGGAGATGGAGTGGCCATGGCAGGTGGAAATCTGCATCRGAAGGTCACTCCTCCCCTGCAGCTGTCAGTGCTGGCAAAGTCACCTGGGGCTCCCACTGCAGGGTCGAGGTGTCCCAGGCATTCTGCTGTGAAATGTCACCAAACCCTTGCTGTCCACACATGTTTGGGGAGCCAGCAGCAGAGCATTTCTAAGCAGGACAAAGTCAGGAGACACCCCTTTCTCACCCAGAAAATTATGTCATGATGAGCTGGGATGCGGCAAAGAACTGGGACAGTTTTTCTTCTGGGATAGAGGAATATCTAGACGAGCCTTGCCTGTGTGCTCCTTGAGCTCCTCACATGAAATATGTTCTTATGGGGACCCCAGGAATCCACATTGTCCTGTGTGAGCCTGTCCACTGGCAGAGAAAGTGGCCTTAAATCCGAGCATATTAATGGACCAGCCCATAACACTCCAGTGATCCCCTTTCTAAGATGTCCTACTACTAATGAAGAAGTGCCTGTGGCCTTGCTCTTCACTTCTTCCATTTTTAATAACTGCCCGAGTTACCTGTTCTCAAACTCTTTCGTTGGGACCAAAATGCTGCCCCACTGAGGTTGGAAGGACATTGCCATCCAGAAGARGGAGGTAGATGTGGACTGAGCCCGTGTCTCCCTCATAGGTCCCTCTTCACCACTACGTTAGTGCTGGATCTCAACGCAAAGCCACAGCCACCTCTGCTGAGCGAGGTGKAAAGGAGGACATCTTGTCTTCCGATGTCTCCTTGGACTGTAGGGCCGTGCCTTGAAGGCGGACCCCAGGAGTTCCAGGAAATGGAGGTGCTGGCTTTCCCTGCTGATTGATGCTCACCAGCAAGGCCTGRGAGGCCCGGGGCACCTAGGGACTGCGAGGGCAGGAATGAGCTCCAGCTCAGCCTCTTCCAGGGAAGGTGCCTGAGGCCACCAGCATGGGCACTGGGAGTCTTGCTAACCTACTGACTTCTCAGAGAGAACAAAGACGCATCTATGACCAGAGCTGCCTCCTGCCCGGCCTTCACCTCACCTTTGCTCTTTRCCTAACTGGTAAAACGAGGGTGATCATCATGCTGAAAGCACAAGGCCCTGATCTGTCTGCCCAGATGATGGGACAAAGATCACCGAACTTCAGACCTAGAGAGGTCCATGGAGACCACAAGAATATGGAGCCAGAAATAGGGGATTACTTACAAGAATACCGTATTGGCCAAACAAGAGCCACTACATTCTCACAGCAGCTAGTGTTCACCGAGTAGTTCACTGAGTGCCAGATGCAACACTCAAGACCCTATCATGTTGTCTCACTTGATCCCCCAGGACGCACATCCAGGTTCTAGAATGATCACTCCCATCACACTGATGAGGAGACTAAGAACAGGAAGGTTAAGCCAGCTGCCCAAGATCATAGATCCCAAACAACAAAGTTCCAGCTTTCGGTCCAGTGYTCTTTTGCCCTGCCTACCAAAAGGCTACCCTAAATGCCTCTCTTAATACTGTGAAATTAAAACTCTCAGTGCCTCAGAATCTCTGAGGGGGCAGGGGCGCAGGCTCAGGGGCCAGATCTTGTAAGATACACTAGGAGATGCTTGGACACTCTTGTGTTTATTTCCTTCTGTCTTAAAAAAAAAAAAAAAATCACCCAACAGCGTGCACAGGGTAAAAAAAAATCCAGTGGCCTTGTGAGTATGTAGAAATAAATTAATTCCAGTATTCAAATTAAGCCTCCCTACTGGCCTCTGGCCTTTCAAAGCCACACCAGACTACAAYGACATTGCAGCTGAAGCAATCATGATGGGAATGGAAATGAACGTGAGCTAAATACCAGAGGCATGATAATTTTGGAAATGGCTAAATAAACCTAATAATCTCATTCCTGCAATGTTCAATTATGGGGTTTTAATTAAAAGCTCCTAAGGAGATGGGTGGCTGGTCATGGCTTACCTTAATTATCTTTGTACTTAGTAACTAGTCCCAAATTAAAAAACAAAAAGAGAAAAAAACAAGAAGAAGAAGGGAACTTTTCCAGTTTGCGGGGAGATAAGTATATTTCATTTTAATAATAAATGAGAAAGTGTTTATAGGGAGGCCGCCAGGGTCCAGCATTGTTCTAGGTATAGGGCACCTGAAAGAATATGAGATGTGGATCCTTATTACCACAACCAAGTCTAATGTCCTTATGAGCAGATGTCATATACTAAGGCCACCAGCAGATGAATGTGAAGTAGGCAGACAAATTGGGGGGCTTAAAAACACTCAAAGGAAAGAGATAATTGACTCAGGAGGTCAAATATTTAACTATTAACTATAAATTACAAATTATTAGATAGAAACTCTCTCAGATCAAGGAAATACATGGGAAGTAAATCCTAGAATTTAAACCCAAAATAAACCCTTAAGATGAAAATTAAAAAAAAAAAAAACATGACAAACCCCAACCTTGCAACTAACATATCATGATCTTTTTCTCTGGTCTATTTATTGTGAACTTTGATAAAGGTCCAGCCTGTGAGCAACAAGAAAGAAACAGGGTCCATGGACTCTTCCAGCCCTGGGCCCAGCCTTCTCCTCAAAGCAAGAGCAGTTAACAGAGAAGCTCTTTTAGCAGAGACTGAAGGAAGATAAGTGGTCAAATTGCATATTATAGAAAATGTTAATAAAAATAAAATAAAGGAATATACCCTGACCCTGGTGAAAAATTCCCAGCTGACTCCCCAGAGGAAGAAAGTGGATGTCTCTGGGAAGGAATGGCTGACGGGGAGATGGATTTTGCCCAGGTGAGCTTTAGCAAATTTCTGGGTTAGTTGGAGTGATAAGGAGCCCATTTCCAGAGCTTCTGGGGAGAAGAGCCCAGGCTGAGACRGCTGGATTTAATTCAAGGGAGATATCAGGGACTTGGGCAGGCAAGGGCCCTCCCAGGCTGAGTGAGATAAAGCTCCTTCCGTCTCTGGGGCCATGTGTTTGGTGAATTTTCAATACCACTTAAAGGCCTAGGGAGCTCTTCCTCTTCTGCTTGACAGGGATGGCTGAAAGGAAGCCACATGCAGGATGGCTTAATTGGAGCCCGTGCCTCTCCTTCCCCTGATCRGATGACCTCTATTTTTAAAGAGAATTCTTGCCCCTCCATTTTGACTGACGTCTCCCTCTGGTGAGTTGTTAGGGGAGTAGCTTGAATGGGGAGCATTTTGCATCTTAAAACAGCCACATCAGTCCACACAGAACCACCCCATGCATATGCCCAGCTGGGCGCTGGCACTGGGATGAGGGTGTGCTGGGGTGGTCAGCATATGACTGCTGTCCTTTTCTCTGGCCTCCTCTAGGGGTTAGCTGCACACCACAGATGGAGCCTTTTATCAGTCTTACAAYTGGCTTCAGCAGGTGTGAAGGAGGCAGCATTTTGGGGGTATGCTCTTCCTACACCCCACGTGATGGTGGAGTTTCATTCATCATTTCCCTTAGACTGTTGCAACTGACTCTGACCTTTTCCAAAATAACCCCTTACAATCTTCTAGATTTTTACCCATGAGTGCCTGATAAAGCATTTAATGAATCCCTCATACATACAAGTCATTCCCCAAAAGTCAAACTACAGGTGAGAAGGTGGAGGGCAACAGCGTATTGATGTCTGAAGTCTTTGGACTTCAGTTCTCATGTCCTCATAAAGCAATTGGCTTCTTATTAGAAGCTCCAGAGAATATCATAAGTGATGAACTTGACTGCTATCAACAAAGGTGGTCAGGATGAGCCTAGGTAACTAATGAGATCCACCTGCGAGATTGAACCCTCCTGGAGTAGGGGAATTGGGGGCATTAGCATTTCTGGGACCTAGGAGGGAGTGCCTTACTCCCACGGGTTCTGGATCCTGGCTGTTATTGGGTCAGCAATGCCCTGCCACTCTTGGCGGGAAGGTGCTTTCATGACGAAGTGGCATTCACAGCCATGTGCTGCATTAAACTCGGCACCCACCTGTAATGATGTGTTTTAACATTCTCTCTAATTAGTTTTTCTCACTAGCTCTTGGATGACTCCTGCACTCTATAATTATTTCTTTCACTGGCACTTATGCCAATATTGCACCTTTTGCCTAATAATTACWGTAATTAGAGTCACTATATTTGAATTTGGTGCCTGTGTGATAAACGGTTTTATTATACGTGTTYCATGGGAAGTGATTTCTAAGTGGGCGTCCATAGGAAGCTATTGAGGTATTGCTCAGAGACAAGTGTTTGTGGAGAATAAATAACATAATGAAGAAATAATGTGACAGGAGGAAACAGCAGAGAGGGAGAGGAGGGTGAATCAAGGGAATTCTTGCACCGTGGCCAGGCAGTGGAGGAGCAGGAGACCCGCCTGCACAGCTGGTCATGCTGGGGCCTGGTCGCCAGACTTGGCTCAATAAGCCCTGGGTACTGGAAAGGATCAAGAGTTCAGAAAGGTGGGGAGGGATGTCAGCTCAGCTCCCGGGGACCTTGCTCCCTCCTCATGACCCCTTCCCAAGCTCAGTCTCTGGAGGCCCTCGGCTCCAGTTCCAGGTCTGGGCTCTTGGGAATCTGTACAACTCTTTAGGAAACCCCTTCACGAATTTTTTTTTTCTTTCTTTTTTTGCTTTAAGGAAAATCAAGGGATTGGGTCTACTTCTTTACCACCAGAAAAAGAGAAAGTTAGTGGAAGCACAGGATGTCAAGAAAAGTAAAGCAAACGAGTGAAACTTAGAACCCGGTTTAAAAACTGTGTCCTCAGCCACCGCCCTTCCCTGGAGTTTCGAGCCGCCTCAGTCACGCGTCTGCACCATCCATTCTTGTGAGCTACGGTGGCAATCTGTGCTCCCATTTCACTTCTATTACCCACAGATCAAACCCTTCTGTTTGCTCAGCATATTTTGTGGGCCCACTAAACTATCATAATTAAGCTCCACTTACACAGCTCTTACCACGGGCTGCTCATTACACTAAGTGCCTGATATGCATTATTTCACTTAATCCTACCCACCCTTTGAGTTATGTACTATTATTCTTTTCATTTTGTAGATGAGAGGTAACTTGCCAAAGTCACACACTAGCAAGGGGCAGAGCTAGGATTTTCAGCCAGGCAGGATGACTCTGCAGCCTACACTGTCCTGTTTCCCAATTTCTGCAAACATTCAGAGGACAGCAATCTGTGTAGCAAACACTAAAACACTTCCATCATACCCATGTCCGTGTCATACCCATATGACATGTGACTCAACAGACGTTAGGTTTCCTAGCATGACCAGACCAGGGGCCTTAACAGTTCCTTCAGCTTTTCCATTACCAGGTGTCAAGTGCTTCTTTCTTTGAACACCTTGAGGAAATCCAGAGCTCTTCAAGTCACTACTGTGTGTGTGGAGCAACCTATGGGGCTCCTTCTATGCCATGCTCCGGCCTGGGCTGCGTGTTCAAGGCTGGGTCGGGGGAAGAGCTCACCTGAACACACGTACTCCTTTTTCTGCACATCCGCCACATTGAAGCCCCTCAGGTGCACAGGAGCCATGCAGAGTGTGAACTGGCCAATTGTCCGCCGCTGGCGCAGCCAATCTGAGAGCCAGGCCAGGTGGCAGTCGCAGTATAAATGGTTGGAGTGAAGACGCCTGGGAGAAGGAGAGACAGAGGGAAGGTKCGGTCACACAGTGCTGAGCAGAGTGGACCAGGCCTCTGCTACCCCTTTCCCCAATGTGACAATTCTTATGGCATAGGGAAGTCTTTTCCTTCGCACTCCCCCAAAAGCAGGAGCCTCAGCCCTTTTATGGCTAAGCCACAAATTATCTTCACATGTAGGGCACATCCAGTGGATGCCTTCAGGGTTCTGAGCAATTTCCATTTCTTAATAATGAGTCTACCCTTTTCTTTCTCATACAAGGCAAGCCTCAGCTCATAGGAGACGGAGTGTGATATTATTATGGTGACAATACTGATTCAGGTCAAACTTACAAAGGGATGATTCTTGCAAATTTCAGTTCTTGTGCCAGCAGGGGTACAGCTAGCTTGAAACATGYTTCTCTATCTCAATGCCCGTCTGAGATGTCACTGTGGCTGAGACCTGCCATTGCCTTTTACCTGGCTCTCCTTCATCTCCTCCCTAAGTGTCCTTCAGAAGCYTGCTGCATGGACAGCTAACACCAAGACCACCTGGTCACATTGCACAGAGAGAGTAGGGTACAGAGAGAGGGTACTTTCTGAAAGGTGGAACATCTCTGCTTCCTGTTTAAATAAAGTGTTCATACTGGATGGCAGCACTCCATAGCAATCTCCGTGGTTCCCTCCCTCTCTTGCCAAGTTCAATTCCAGCTGGTATATTTGCTTTTCTGACTGATTTAGGTGCCTCTGAAAAGATTTTCTAACAAGTTGCAGACTCTGGCTTTTCTGCTCTGGGAGCTGGGATTCCAGATCAATTTCTTGCCCTTGAATGAGTAGAATCCCTGGAGGGATCTGCCTGTTGCTCTGCTGAGGGAATCCCAGATAGTTAAACGACTTGAACTTCCTTTTTATGGGCTAAAAGTTCTTCTTCAAGGACTCTATCAGGATCTCCAACTTCTGTATTCCCCATGCCCTTTGGTTATTAGAAATAGTGGTGGGGAGTTGAGCAGCATTAGACTTGGGTTTCTGATGCAAATGTCAAATGCCTGATCCTGGACATGCTAATCAGCCAGCAGTTATCTTGACTCTCAAGTGCTCTCTGTCAAGCCTCTTAATATTGAGTGTCAGCCCAAAGGAGTGGTGCGGGCCACCACTATGCCTAYTGTGGGAAAGCTGAAGGGCTCTTGACCACATTCCACTCAGCGTAAGGTCCACATTGCTAACACTGGCCAACTAATGGGCTGCGTCTGGCAGGGGCCTTCCTGCCACTGCATGGCCACAAGCCCCTGGCAGGCTGGAACCACAGTAAGGGGCCTCAACTGCTGCAGACCCCATCATTTCTGTCTCAATGAACTCAGATCCCACAGGAAATGCAATTTTTTCCTGCTAAAAAATTGTGTACAGCTTTTTATGATTTTGTTTTTTAAATGATTTTTWAAAATGTCACTGTCTTTTGTATTTCATGGTAAGTCTAGCGCACTTTCAGAAGCTTCCAGGCCCTAGACATGGCAATTATATGGGACCCAAGACATTTTCCCCTTTGAGTTTCACAGTCAGACCCCCTGAACCGAAGCAAGCATGGCTCCCTCCCAGCCTGGACTCTGGACACAGGTTCAGCAGTTGGGAAGTGATGGGGAGACCAAATTCTAAGCTGATAGGGGGACCTCAACACCAGGAGGAAAAACAAGACCTGTGTCTAACCGTGAGCATGATCTCTCGGTGCTTAGAGCGAGGGAAGGTATGGCAGGGCACTTTCAGCTGGTAACTATTTCCTAAAAGGCAGGCTGGAGAGGAGGGGATCCCAAGGCCAGGAAGCTCCCACCAGGTATCAGTGCTGCTCAGGGAATTGGTAGCCGTGGGACAAGGTGGGACACAGGGCAGGCTGTGGGGACAGTGCAGGCTGAGGTGTGCCGGTTGACTCAGAACCATTTCATTAGCTTGGCTTTCATGTGGACAGGCAGTCACCTTATTTGGCAGCAAGGTATGGATGCTAAGGCTGAGGGGATTCACTGTGAGGCCATGAGCATGGTCCCTGAGGCGGATCAATGAGAACAAGTTCCCGTCAAGTCCAATTGAGGGTAAGAGATCAACAGGACAACAAAAATGAGGTTTGGGTAAGTCAGCTCCTTCCTGAGCTGATTAACTTCTGAGACAACCAACATGTCAGTGTTTCMCTCTTGGCAGCTTATCCTGGGTTGGTTTTTCTCAACCCTGGCTGGAAGTAAGCTGCCTCTCTTCTTGACCTTGCTACAGGTATTCCCAGCCCTGTGTCCTAGGAATTCCTCCCCTCCCAATCTCTTCTCTAGGGAGTTCTCTAGGGAGTTCTGTACTGAACTCCCTGAGCCCATGTGGAAGCCATGCAAAGTTTCTTGTCAAAAGCCAGGGCAGAGGACAAGCTCCGTCCCCTCCCATAGGAAGGGTACCCACTGAAAGTGCCAGGAGATTCTCTCAAGCCGCCTTCTTGTCATGTTTGGGAGATCAAACTCAGCAATAACACCCAAAATACTACTATTAAAATAAAAATAATTATGACAATCATAAAACTTGAGCTTGGACATTGCTAGGAGTAGTTCTAGTCCTCTTAATTGAGGAGAGAAATAATTTCAATTCCTTTCAACAGTTTGGTGGGTTGTGATGGTGGTGGCCTGAGGGATGGTGGCCTCCATCAGCTGTGGGGCCTGTGGGAGCTCTGGTCTCCTCCTCTGCTCACCTGTTCTGCGTTTGTTCCTGCTGACTGTAAGAGCTCAGGCTTTGATGTCAGACTGCCCAAGTCTGATGTTGGCTCTGTGCCTTCAAACTTTGGGCAGTGATTTAACTTTGGACCTCAGTGGTATCAGCTATAAGGTGGGGGAGTTAATGATGCTTCCTTCCTAGGGTCCTGTGAGGATCGAAGTGGGAAGTGCTTAGCACCAGGCCTGGCACATGGTTAACCATGGGGTGAATGGGTGCTATCATTGAGACTCCAGGGAGACTAGCTCTAGACTGCAGACCCTTCCCAACCTGTGGCCCTCCTCTACAAGGCTACGATTTCTTCTTCAGATGCCAAGGCATCCAGGAGACTAGGTGCTTCCTACACGCCATTCTGTAGCCTTTTACCAATGGGCATGTCATATTCCATGTTGATGAGACCACCTTTGCAGAACATAAGGTGAATGAATACAAATACCAATTTACAAAAGGTGCCTTTTAGCCACAGACGCTAAATTAAATTTCCAGCAAATCCTTTTAGAGAGGGTCAGTGTTCATTTTCTATAAAATGTGGCTTTCTGAATTCAATATAAAAGCTTTCCTTTGGAAATCCCATTTATGACTTCCTTCCTCTCTCCTCCTCCCTCCTCCACCACCACCAGCCCCACCCCCCAACTCTTTAATTACAGTGAAGGGGGATTAGTCAGCTCATCTCCAGGGAGTTCTATACAGAGCCATCTCTGAAATTAAACTAAAGAGAAAATGGCAGCAGGCAGGAAGCAAAGAGAGCAGACAAGATTGATTGATTGATCTGAACTCAGAGACAAATGTTCAGGACTATGAAGAAGAATGACAACAGAAAYAAGGAGATAAAACTGTCCCTCCCCTGCCTCCTCCCAGTGCACCCTAAACAAGTACCTAAGGTCCAAGCCTAACCACCTGCCCCAACTCCCATGGAACCAGCAAACTCCCATTATTGCTGCTCCTCAACTGAAAATCATGAAGATGGAAAGTATAAATCACAGAGGAAGACTCCCCAGGAGCTGGGCTGCTGCTTTCTGCAGGTGAGAGTCATTTTTCTTCCATGCACCCACTTGTCTGAGGTGATGCAGGCCCAGTGTCCGGAGATTCACTTTTGGCTCCTTGCCTGGGAGCCCTGGGCTACACATTTCCCCCGCTCAATTGTGGTTTGCAGGGAACTTTGAAGAGATCTTTGAAGACCAACTGGCTTTTCCTTAAAATTCTATGAATGTACCATCCCATTTTAAGTGGTTGTGAAAAGGACAAATTTTCCTGGCTGAGTTTTGCTATTGTGTGATTAAGGGAAGAATTTGGAGAGAAAAGATGGAGCTGACATCAAATTGTTGTGTTCTTTACAATAACTAGTATTTGTGTGTGCACACCATGCACCAAGCCCTTCACGTATTAAAGTGTATTTCATTCTCATAATGACAATGAGGTGAGCATTTATTAACCCACTTTCCTTGAAGCACAGARAGGAAGTGGCAGAGCTTGCATTTCCACTCAGGTCAGCCTGACTCCAAATCCTGTCCCCTTCTGAGGGGCTCTGCTCTGCTTCCTTGTAAAGTGCCCCACTGGCCTTTGCTTCGTCCTCACCTGAGGTGAGATCACGTTCTCATGAACATTCTCATGGCTCTCACGATASAGCGTGAAAATCTCTTGGGGGGCTTGTTAAAACACACTGCGGGATCTTCCCACAGGTCTGGGGTGGGGCCTGGAGATCTGCTTCTGTAACAAGTTTCAGGTTGCTGATGCTGCTAGTCCAAAGGACCCCACTTTATGAATTTTGGAATCTCATGTATTCCATGATGCTTGGGGGTCATAGATAAGCTGGTTGTTTGGAATGTTCTAGATGTCTGGATAAATAATGTGATGCTAATGTTATCATTTATATCATTTACTCTCTAGCATATGCCAGGTGCTATGCATATGTAAAGCCACCCAATCCTCATCATTGCCCCTGTTTATAGAGAAGGAATTCTAGCACTTTGCCTTGGCCCCAGATGCACTGGCTGAAAGCTCCCAGGAGCTGGCTTCCCCCTGAGGCTGCCAAGCAAGTGCCACTGAGTCTCCACCAACACAGAGCAAGCACTAAGCATGAAGCTCTTTGGAAAGGGCAACTGAGCCCATCTGCAGAGAAACCTATGAAGGGATTTCTGGCTGAGAGTTGAGGGGAACTTCCACATAATTCAGCCTCTAGAACTGCTCTCAGTTCTGGACATCACAGGGGAGATTTGCTTTGCATGCACACCTTATGGGAGGTCTTAAAGATAAAGGACCAAGTCAGTGCATCTCAATATCAGATTATCATCCAGGGAGCAGGTGAGCTGGAGGATGCAGTGGATAGGATCTTTCTTGGTGGGATAGAGAGAAGGGACAAAGACTCCTTCTCTTCCACCATTCCCAGAAGGGAAAACAGCCACTGGCAATACAACAGAACTGCTCATGGCACATGACATTAGCTAAGCAATGTGAATCATGACATCACCGTTCTGCATGTTCTATGACAAAGGACAATTAACAACTTTTTAAAATCAAGGTGAGAAAACAGAACAAGCACAGTACAGGGAGAATTCCCACAGGCTCAAGATGACAGAAATGAGTCTGTCTGGTGCATAATGATGGTTCAGAGTCATGGGTGACACCGTGACCCTTCCCTGAATCCATCCTCCCTCACCATCTCACCCCTTAGTTAATAGCAGGAGACATTGGAATATAGGGACTTTCTGCCTGGGCTASCTGACAGGTGTCATCGGCAACTAGAGAGCTGAGCTTTGGCAGTAGGTAGGGGACAGGCAGGTGAGGATCGGGGACCTGGGACGTGTACTCACAGAGTCCGGATCTTCGGCATGTGGTTGAAGCTCGTGACCAGGATGCGGCTAATGTTGTTGTTATTGAGGGTGCTGTGGAGACAGAGGGAAAGGAAGAGGTCAATGAGGAGCAAGATGGGGGCATTGAAATGTTACAGAAGGCAGGGCAGGACCAACAGTCAACAGCCACCAGCCAATCATCAGGGCAGCTGGAGACAAGGGACAGATCTCTGGCTGATGAGAGACTCCGCTGACTTCCTTATTCCCCAGGTTCCTCCTGCTGTTCTCCTACAGCACTGGCGTGTCCACTGTGAGCAATGACACCCTTTCCTGATCCTACTGTGTGCTGAGCACTTCATTGGGACAGCCCTAATTCCTCTAAGGACCCAGCCAGTTACATGTCCTCTTTTAGGGAAGGAAACAGATTCGTGGCATTTTGCCTATAACGCACAGACCCACAGAGTGGACGTTATGCTGGTGTCGTCAGAGGCTAAGGGGCACAGAGAAGTGTGCTTGGCAGCCTCAGGGGGAAGCCAGCTCCTGGGAGCTTTCAGCCAGTGCATCTGGGGCCAAGGCAAAGTGCTAGAATTCCTTCTCTATAAACAGGGGCAATGATGAGGATTGGGTGGCTTTACATATGCATAGCACCTCCAGCAACCTCACCCTAGCTGCTAGGGCTGCAGGTGGCTGAACCCTGCCCTCTCCTGCTCTGTTCCTTGTCGGGTCCACATTCCATCTACTCACACATGATGCCATATGAACAGGTTTTCCTGCACTTCCCAGGCATCTGCAAGCACATCTCATCTCAAGTGCATTGGTGAGCTCCATGGGGACACAGACTGACTYGCCTCCATCTTGCTCATGACCACAGTTGGGGYTCCTACAGTGACCAGGACTTCTGCACAAGGAAAGGTGTGAGGAGGGACAGAGTGGGACTGCTGAGGAATGAAGTCGGGCTACAGGCGAGCACTGCCAGCCTTACCCGCCTGGGGAACTATTATGAAGCCCAGGGGAACAGGGCAGCCAAGGAGGCCATGGGCAGAGGCCTGCAGCACTTAGCAGCAGGGGCCATCTCAGGTCAGAGCACTCAGGGATTCCTTAATAGAGAGGCCACAATCCATGCCCCCCGCACCTGCCTTGTTGCACCTGAGCGCAAAAGCTGGACACACCCCTCACTATCATCATGGTGGTCACCTGCTCCTGTGCCCTCCCTTTCTCTTTCTTTCCAGGGCCACATCAGACTTCTTTTCTCATCAGCCCAACTCCTCTCATCCTTTCTTGGGCCCACACAGGTCCCCACTGGCCCAGGAAGGGGCCTTCCTTTGGAAGTTTCATTGGTTATGTGACTTCTGCACTGGYCACTTGGTAAACATAACATCTTCCCCCTAAGTGCCCTCTACAAGCATAAGCTCTCCAAAAGTGGGGTATTTTCTATGTTGTGCATGACTATAGCCCCAAGGCCTGGCTCAGACGTGGTTCAAATTGAGTCTGGCCATTCCCTAGTAGTGCAGTCYTGGGCAAGTTAGTAACATCACTTATCTACAAATTCTTCATCTGTGGAAGGAGGCAGGCACTTACAGACTGGGAAAGGCTCAGCATATAGTATGTGCTCAGTGAACAGGCCACTGTTACTAAAAGAGTGGGGAGAATCTAGTCCTGTCCTGGTCATTTCTATCCCCTACCCCAACCTCTACAGAAATAGAAACAGAGCTCCACTGAGCACATAGTAGCCCCCATGCTCACCCCACCCACCCATGGGTCCCTGCACAGATTCTTTCTTTAGCTCCTTATGAGTGTAGTTTAGAGCAGGATTCCAATACTCACATGCCCCCACCCCAAATGGTTCCTCTAACCCACCTGGTCTACTTGTCATTTGCTTGGCCAATGAGACTTAGAGGGTCTGCTTACCCAGAGGCATAGCACTTGATTCCTGACCCTCCCTCATTGTTCACTGTGCACCTACCACATGTCTGTCCCTGTGTTAGGATGCAGGATGGTAAGAGGAACAGGTGGACCTAATTTACATGGCCTTGCTTCTGCCTATTCTGTGAYTGTGCTACTCCGCCTGTGCAGAGAGTTGCCCTTTATGAAGTTGAACCTACTTAGCTGTTTTGTTTGTGTGGCTCATCTTTTCTGTGTGTGTGGGTGGGGGGAAGGGACATCCATCCTGTCTCTGTGCACTCGGGAAACCTTATCTCATCAGACAGTGCAGAGATATTCATCACTCCCATCAGACCAGACTCTGCGGCAAAGGATTAGGAAGGCCTCCAGGGCAGATCGGAGGCTCTCATTTCTTCTCTGTCCACATCAGAGTTCTAGCCTCCACACTTGGGCAATACTTAGATAGGTTTGTTGACTGACTACCAGACAAAAATCTGAGCATCTCCTTGTCTCTCAAAGGCAAGGAATAGGAAGCCTTTGAAGAGACAGGGCTTCTTCTGTACCATGTTGCTTACCATCAGGGGGAGTTCGCAGCCCAGCCCTAATGAACTGAATACATGGTACAGTTATACATGGGCTTCGACTGAACTGCGTCTGGCAGTGGTCTGGCAGTGATGACTTATTAATGTATTACTACACTGATATTTAAATGTGAGCCATAATGAGAGCCATAAAACATTTACGATAATAGCAATTATTCCAGAACCAAAATGACTAAACACAGTATTCAGACTTTCATGATTTGCAGCTTGGGGCTGGCCAACCCAGAGATGTCAGAGGGTGGCTAACCTCTTAGACACGGATCTCTCTCGCAGCTACAGCTTCTGTTTCCCGAAGAAATAGATTTATTTTATTTCTAGCCCCTGGAAGCTTTTGCTCATGAAGAGAGCATTGTACTCTTTGTGGTTTTGTGCCTGAGCAGCTGGCATTCAGCAGAGGAACTGTCATATCCCCAGTGCAGAGTTCTGAGCACGGGCCTTGGTTTAGATTCTGACTCTGCCACTTACAGCCTATGTCATCATGGTCACTCTCTTCACCTAAGTTTCCTCCTTGTAACAGGGAGATGATGATAACCCTGACCTCTGAGAGCTTTTGTGGTGATTAAGTGAGATGATATTAATAGTTACCAACATTAACAGAGAGCTTCTTGTATATTATAGACRGGCTCTGGCTAAAGGAGCTCCACCACCCCATCTCATTCAATTCCTCTGGTCACCCCAAAAGGAGGGAATTCTGATATCTCCATTCCATGAATGAAGAATGAAACAGGTGGTGGAGCCAAGATTTAAATTCAAGCCAGTCTGACTCCAGGAGCAAGGTCTGTATCTGTCTCCTCTCGCTGCTGTAACAGAGGACCATGAATTTAGTGGCTTAAGTTTGAAGTCTTACAACCTGGAGGTCATTGTCCCAAGTGGGTTCTTGGGGCTGTTTCTTCCAGTGGCATCAGGGAGAAGCCTCGGTTTCCTTGCCTTTTGCAGCTTGTAGAGGTCACTCATACCCTGGACCATGACTCTTCTGGGTCACTCCATCCTCCAGTGAACTTGTTATGATCTCCTGCCCCATCTTATAAAGACTTTGGTGATTGCATTTATAGCCTCCCGGATAATCTTACCTCTCAGGAGCCTTAATTTTAGTCACATCTGCAAGGTCCCTTTTGCCATTGAAYATAATATTCATAGGTCCCAGGAATGAGATGTGGACATATTTGGGACCCATTACCCAGCTGACCACAAAACCCTTGCAAAAGAATATATAAAGCACTTAGTACACAGCAGTGCCCCCATGGACTCTCAATGATCATCAACAATGATTCTGGTGACTTGGGCTGGTTCAGTCCTGTACTTTATAACATAGTTTCACATTGGTCTAATTTGATACTTATAGCAGGCTGATTCTCCTCATTTTAAAGATGAGCAAATTTGAGGCTAAGGTTCTCTACATATTTCTCCCTGATATGCCCACTGTCTCCTGTTCTAGGATAAGCCTGTCACTCCATCCAGATCTTTCCTGTCATATCCACATGGGACTGGAAACACCTGCACAAACTGTTCTGTTGCCTCTCAGTTTATAAACCTTGTTGGGAATTAGCAAATAGAAAAAAGGTTTGTTCCAACAGTGACACTATCCCACCTCTCCATTGGATCCCTGGTCCATGCTAAGTTAGGGGTCACCTCATCTTATCTACCTCCATCCTCAGGAGGAGCTTTTCCAGTTTCAGAGTCTTCCTTTGACCTCATTCTTCTCATCTGGACATATTTTGAGAAAATATGCCTCCCTCCCCAATTATCCAGGCAGTAGTTGGCAGATTTATCCTAAGTAAATACTCTTCATTCAGCATTTTCCATCAGGTTTCAAGCACAAGTTCAGGGTCAAATTAATTCTGTAAATTTCAGGACTGTCCAGTATTTTTGTATCTTTGAAAGGTACTGAATGTGCATTTCAGCATTAACTAGAAATAAAGTCAATTCTCCTCCCTGTGTGGTGGAAAAGATAGTACACCTACCTCTTATTTCTGTCTTATAAATTTCCTGCTGTTTATAAATACGCATTTATATTGAGGCTAAATTTGACTGTTATACTGTCCAGTTTCCCTTTGCTTTATCATGATTGGAATATACATAACTAACGTACAAAGTGATTATTTCCCATATTAAAATGATCCATTAGGACAATGCCACTCCTAGCAATGCATCCATTCTTTCTTGGTGGTGAGCACTAGAAAGGCTGGACTAATATTTKTTCCTAGGCCACTGAGGGTTAGTGTACTTATCCTTGCTCCTGGAGTGCACAGATTCAACCTTTGTGTCAGGGAAGAGCTGGCTCTGGTTCATGTTGCTCACTGCTCACCTGGGTGCCAGGGCAAGACAAGGGATCCCGGCCATGGTGAGTGCACAAGGCAGCGGTGCAGATAATGGTCAGCTCCAGGGACCRGGTTTGTGCTGCCCACAGACCAGACCCCAGGCCATGTAGCCTGTAATTGTCGATAAAGTTTTACCCATTTATTTCCATGCTGTCTGTCGTAGCTCTTGTGTGACAACGGCTGAGTAGTTAYGGCAGAAACCGTATGGCCAGCAAAGCCTGAAACATTTACTCTCTGACTTTATATAGAAAATGTTGGTTAGCCCTTGGCTGCTCTAGAACTGGGCTGTTCA